TTTTTTTCGGCGTAATTTTGCAGAACTTTTTGTTTCCATATTATGATCTCTTGAAGTATTGAAAAGCCCCTCAGACCAATTTTTTATTTGGCTTTTTGCCACATGTCGTATACTGCGTGAATCTGGCATACACAATTTTTTTTTTTTTGTCAAAATGTCCAGAACTTTTTTCCCCTTTTCAAGAACTCTAGAACTGTTGGAAGGTTTCTTACATCATTCTTATTTTACTTTGGCCAGCCAATTAACAATAAATCAGAAATGACGTATGAAAGATGATAGTGCAGACACCGATTGGAATGAGTGGAACGTTTGTTTTCAGCGAAAACTAGTTTTCGTTTGACAGATTTTGCATGGACGAAAACACAAGTTTTAGGTCGAAAACCGGTTTAAGCAACGAAAACATGTTTCCGATGTCGGTCAGAACATGTTATTATGATATAATATTTTTAAAGAGGCTGACCACCTGTTTAAAGTTCAAATTAAATTTAATCAGTATGTAAAATGAAACATCACAAAATGATGGCAAGTCAATAAAAAGAAGATATTTCAGAAGGCTTTATTTCAAAAATATTTTTAATAGTGGCTGCCACCTGTTTAAAATTCTTATTAAATTTAATACGGTACAAACGAAATAGGTTGAAAAGAAAACTTTAGAAATAAAACAGGTTTAAAAGGGTGTTTAAAAATCGAATTAAAGCGAAGTTTTGCAAAATGGAATATCTTTCGTCTTTACAGAAAAGATAAATGAAATATCCAGTGAGATATTGCTATGAAACAATGAGTGTTGGTTTTGTATTCAGGCATATTTTTTTAAATAATAGTATAATAATGGTAAAAATAATTTAATAATCTCCAAACAAAATTTGACAAGGGATGACGGAAATTGGTTCCAAAATACATCGTAAAAATAATTTTTAAACATCTATAATTTGTATAGATCCGGCTACGAAATGTTAGTTATTTTTTATACTGAAGTTGCCATTGCTAATTCAATTGAAATTCTACGCATTGAACAAATGTGAAATTTTTTTAGAGCTCTGGCTGGATTTTAAAAAGTTTTAGAGTTCCTGGCTGGAAATTGCAATAGTTCCGGGGAATTTCGGGCAGAAATCGGTAAAACGATTTGGTGGGCCAACTTCACGCGGCCCCCTTTTTTCCAGGAAAAAGAGTTCTGATGCCACATCGTAGTGTACTATAAAGAGTTCTAGAGTTCTGAAAGGGTTTGGTAAATAGTTCTGCAAAAAAATCCAAAATTTTTTTATTTGAGAAATTTTACCTAATTCTGTCACTGTTTACTTCATTTGTTTTTCAGGGTTCTGTTGAGAGTTCTGAGTAGCCCCATGAGAGTTCTAACCAAAACACTTATAAAGTTTTGTTGTCCGACAAAAAGTAAAAAAGCTATAAGCAAACACAATGGGCGAATTTTTATTAACAAACAAATTTATTTTGCTTTTCAAAGTTCTGTTGAGAGTTCTGAGAAGAGAGTTCTAACTAAAACTCTTATATATTTTGTTTGTCCGACCAATAATAAAAAGTTATAAGCAAAAACAAGGGGGGGGGAAATTTTTATAATTTTATAAACAAAAAAAAGTTGTTCTGAGTAACCTTCCAATAGTTCTAGAGTTCTTGAAAAGGAAGAAAATTCTGGATATTTTGAGAAAAAAAAATTGCTTTGAAAATTGTGTATGCCACATTCACGCAGCATACGACATGTGGCAAAAAGGCAAATAAAAACTGTTCTGAGCAGCTTTTCAATAGTTCCAGACTTCCTGAAAAGGAAACAAAAAGTTCTGTAAAATTATGCCCAAAAAATTTTCTTTTAAAAAAGTCGAAAAAGTTGAATGTTTGAAAAAAAGTTAAAACTATTCTGAGTATCTTTCCAAAAGCTTAGAGTTCCTGAGAAGAAGCCGAAAAAAAAAAATAAAATTACATCTGTTCTGAGTAGTTTTTCAATAGTTCTAGAGTTCCCGAGAAGGAAATTTTGATAATTTTATTTCTTTATGGTCTTGCACATTTTCGTATACATATACAGCTATGGTCATAGATTTAGCACCAAAATTCAAATAGATAGATATTGTTTGGAACTTAAGTATGTTTATTTATTTCATTTAATAATTTTCATTTATAATATGTATATATAATTCAATCTATAATAGAAACTACATGAAGCTATTATGTACATATTTTTATAAACGAATTATGAATTGATCGAAATGAAGGTAATAATCACATTATTCTAACCAAATCTCTCACAAAGTTTTTTTGTCCGACCAATAGTAAAAAAGTTATAAGCAAAAACAAGGGGCAAGTTTTTATTTCCAAAAAAAAATTTCTTTTTTAAGAGTTTTGTTGAGAGTTCTGAGTAGCTCCATCAGAGTTCTAACCAAAACACTTATAAAATTTTGTTGTCCGAGTAGTTATTGTACACGCTGTTTAAGAATTGACTAGTTTTTAGAAGTTAACATATTTTTCTCTATTTTCATAACTTTTATTCGTGTTTCTTATACGTACGCAAAATTAATCTTTGAATTATTACTTACCGCCGACACGATGGTATTAGCTTCGCCAATTATGTCATGGTAAGACAATTTTCCTTCGCGATATAAATTTATTGCTTGATCAACAAAAATATTCGGTATCTTTTCATTCAATTCGGTCTTTCCAATCGAAACGCCATCAGTGGCTTTATAACTTTGAGGGGGATCAATGTCCGCAATTCTTGACTCTTTTCCAAAAGTTATACTTGATAACTTCCTATTTAAAAGCTATGCAAATAAATAAATATAGTAGTTCGTTTTATATGAGTACTTAGAAAATATTTGATAATGCAATTCACCTCCTCGATGAACGTATACAAGTATTCTTTTGTAGTTTTCGAAAATCGAGCATAAAAATTGTTTAGCTTTACATATGCCAATAAACATTCCTTCGGCACTGCTTCGAGAAGTCTGAAAAATATTTGTTCTTTTTTTAATTCACTACGTTTCTATGCAAATATATATACTAACACAACGAAGGCTTTTACTAATTTGTCTGAAACCTGATCGCCCTTGTACATTTTTTTCCCCATTGTGGTTTCTAAAGTAAATCAAATTAATTGCACAATGAATTTAGTTTATAACTCTTTTATTACTCCTTACCGACAGCTATGCTTAATGTTATCCTTTGTAATTTTTCACCAATAAGATGTGGTAGCATATTATCTGCCATTTCACCGAACTTTAGAATGGCACCATCTTTAGCTTTGTTGAATATTGGGAAAAAGGATGTCAGGAGCTTTTGGTGAAAACTTGGGTTCATAATTCGACGATTCCGATGCCATTGATCCACTAAAATTATGAAGGTATTAAATATACATATGTATGTAGGAGGGAAATAACGCATAGTAAAAATGAATATCTTTTATTTGATTATCGTTTAAAAATGTTCGTATTTAAAAATAATACTTTCATACCAAAATTTAGCATGCACTAAGGGGAAGAAATTGTAAAATCAAATATAAACGTATTTAAATCAAATGAAAACGTGTTCAAAAGTAGTATAGTTGCGTGTGAACTCCAAAACAATCGACTTGATCAGATTATTTTAACACATACCAAGCTTAACCTAAAAATGCCTTAAAAATACCATAAATGCCATCATTATTATATCGATGGCTGAGTGGAAGATCGGCCTATCTCGGCAGCTAGTTCGAAAACGCTCTATCTCAAAAAACTTTTCAAGAACGCCCTATTTCAGAATTTAATTGAAAAACACCCTATCTCAAAATTCGGTTCAAAAACGCCTTATCTCACTTCAAAATGTATTGAAAATATGCTGATATAGGGCGTTTTTGAATCGGCAGCTGAGATAGGGCGTTTTTGAAACGAATTCTGAAATAGGACGTTCTTGAAAAGTTTTATGAGATAGAGCGTTTTCGAACTGGCTGCCGAGATAGTCCGATCTTCCACTCAGCCATCGATATGAGGTTACGACACAAGTCGGAAATATGAGCCAATTGTTAATTGCTCCTGTACGAGCTTTCTAGTGAATACGTTGCGCGCATAGTCGGTGAGCGCACATGGTTCACGATGGGTGCGCGCTGTGACAAATGTTTCTATAAGTCAAAAGCAGAAAATATCTAAAATTTTTTTTTTACAAATATTTTCTTCAATAAATGCAATTTTTGAAAATATAAACGGAATGGAAAACACTCATTGAGAACATATTTTTAATGCAACTTGAATATTTACGTTTAAAATAACAAAAAAAAATTCTAAATTATAAAATATTTTTCTTTAAGCTGTACTGTCACTACGCTTACAAAAAAATTTCATAAACTTTCGTCAATTACTTCAAGAGAAAATTAGTTTTGAAAAAAAGATTGCTTAAAAATATATTTATTTATTTATTTAATGAGTTATAGTCTAGAAATTATATAACAATTTTCTTACAGACTATTTACAAATTAACAAAGAACAATATACTAATAACTAGTTAAATTAGTCCATTCAATACCAACTTAAACTTATCTTTCGGCAAAGAGAAATCAATGGCTATAGTATTAGGGAACATATTATACTCCTTCAGGACCCTAGCTATAGGAGAATTAGATGCGTAAATTGTTCTAACTGGATCTAACACAAAAGTGCCATGGTTCCGCAGGTTTCAATAGGGGATATTAAAACGAATAAGCTCGAGTAAATATGGCGAGTCAATCGCTCCATGTATAATGTCAAAAATAAATGTCAATGAGAGAATAGTTCTTCTACTGTTTAAAGACTTCAAGTTAATTAAGAGACATCTCGAATTATAAGAAGGAAACGGATCATGAAAATGCAGAGAGCGGAGTGCAATACGAACAAAAACTTTTTGAACACGCTCGAGCCGATTTATATGACAATCATAGTAAGGTCTCAATACGAAGAAGGCATATTCTAACTTGGAACGCACCGGAGACGTGAACAGCAACTTTAACGTGTAAGGATCTGTGAATTCTGTACTGAAACGGCGAATGAAGGCAAGCGTGGAATATGACTTAGCGATAACATAGTTAAAATGACTATGAAAATGAAATTTTGAGTCAAAAATCACCCCAAGATCGGATATTTCATTCACAGTGCTTAAAGTTGAATCACCAATATAATATTGAGTATGAATAGGAGGTCAGGATTTTGTAAATGATATATGGAAGCATTTTTGTGGATTTAGATGCAAGTGATTGTAACTACACCAAGCTAATACGTTATCAAGATCCGATTGCAGCTTGAGGGAATCAGATTCATTCGTGATTGTTGAAAATATTTTTAAATCATCAGCATAGAGCAGAAAATTAGAGTACCTAAAGCAATAACGTATGTCGTTAATAAAAATTACAAATAGCAGGGGGCCCAGAACGCTACCCTGCGGTACACCAGAAGACGCAATAAAATAACGCGAGTAAACATCATCCACAGCTACAACACAACTTCGTGAGGACAGGTAGGACTCCACCCAAGACAGAAAGCTAAGATTGAATGGTTGACTTTGTCAAAAGCTTTCGAAAAATCAGTATATACGGTATCAACCTGTGCTCGATTGTTAAAAGCCGACAAACAGACTTCAGAAAAAACCGCAAGATTAGTTACAGTTGGCCTGGCCGGCATGAAGCCATGCTGATTAATTGAGATCAAACTCTTGACAGCAAAGTACATCTTTTCCTTAACTATGATTTCGAATAACTTGGAGATTGTTGAAAGTTTACTAATCGGTCGGTAGTTGGCAATATTGTTTTTGTTACCATTTTTCAAAATAGGTGTAATAGAGGTAACTTTCCAGGCATCAATAAACTTACCAAATTCAAGTGACTTGTTGAATATTAATAAGATTGGGTAAGCAATCGCAGAACAATTCTGAAATAGATAAGAACAGAAACCATCTACATCAGATTGGAATGATGCTTTGAGTTTCAAAATGCCACCAATCACATCTTCTATTGTTAGAGATAACTCTCCAAAGTTTATGGGAGAATCAGTGTTACAAATAGAAAAATTACCTAGATCCAATTCGGGTTCAAAATTTGAGCTGAAAAAGTCAGCAAAAAGATTAGCAGCCTCTAAAGAAGACTGAGCATGGGTACTATTATAAAAAACTTGTGACGGAATACTTGAACACGTTTTCTTTGACTTGACATAGCTCCAAAAAGCTTTAGGGTTCAGTTTGATGTCACGTTCAAGTTCAGTTCTTTTTCTTTAGCGGGATATAACTCCTGCAGATTTCATTAATTTTATTTCTGAAAGAAATGAAACAATCTGCAACGTCGGCCCCTACAAAAACCCAGTCCCAGTCTACCCTACAAATTTCATTACTAACTGCATCAAAGCTACAGCTCCTAAAACTATAATTCGAAGAATAGGTATCTGATTTAAGATTTTTGAATTCGTAAAACTCCAGTTGGAGGACCAGAGGAACATGGTGTAAACCCGAACACGACAGAGGACCGAGGCATTCATCTAAGGAAAAGTTCAAATTTTCACTTAAATAAATACTAGGTCAAGAATTCTGGCAAGTTTATTTTTGAGGTTATTTATCTGACTGAGATTTAAGCTTAGTAGATTGTCAACAACATATGTTTCGGAGAAACTGCCAACGTTATTGGGAAATAAAGCCAAACTATCGTCCATAGTCGTCCAGCCAACATTACAAAGATTAAAGTCACCAAGAATACAAAAATTGCAACTAGACCGCTTAGATACTAAATCTACAATATTATCAATATGCGATTTGTACAAAGCGTCGGAGCTACTTGAAGGAATATATGATGCACAAAATATGAGTGTCGAAGTACCAGTCACGGACACAGATAGTTGATCCAAAAGCGATTCTCCATCATGCAACAAAAGAATCGACGAACGATATTTTCTATGAACAGCAATTAATAACTTTAAAAATTAAATTTTTTCAAACAAATTCCCAGAATCCCTTTCACATCTATAAACCTCTCTACCCACAAATTTTCACGCAAAACTTCGAACTTGACTGAAATCCGAGGTCCAGTTGAGAAATTTTCACCCATATGTATAATGGAAGTATTCAATTCAAATACGCCCATAATAAAATGAAGCATTTTGCGATTGGGATCAACTTGTCAAATAACGTTAAATTAAAGGCATCTACCTTGAGGTTAGGTGGACTCGACACTATTAAGCTAGCACTTCAGGGTACTATGTTTTATATATAGGGAAAACTAAAGTTAGGGGGTGGGGGCTCGAATTTTGATTATAATAATTTACTACATACTTATGTATAAATACAATACATGAAGGCATTTTTTGTTAAAGGCATCAGATCTGCACCGATTATTCGATTTGCAAAACTGAGGTTCCAAATTAAAGGACTTGGCCTCTAAATATGCAACAAGGTATGACATTTTTTAAAATTATAAAACCTGCACCGCTCGTTATATTAAAAAAAATTATTTGTAAAATGAAAGGGCAGGGCCTCTAGAAGTGCAAGAAAGTTTAACTTTTTAAATAGGGTTGCCACCCCACTTAAAAAAATGATATAATATGTCAAATAAACGGGCTTGGTCTATAGATCTACAAGGAAGAACGTCTTATTTTTTTAAAAGGTTGCCAGCTGCTAAAAATTATTATTTTTTTGTGCAGAGCACCAGATTTACACCGTTCTCTCAATTTTAAAATGAGGTGCCAAATGAAAGGTATTTACCTAGAGATGTGCTTTGGGTTTTATTTGTTTTTAAGGTTTGCCACCTAATTATAAATCTATTGCTTAAATATGATACTCAGTAAAATGTCGCAATATGGACATCAAGCGAAAGGGTCTTTATACTAAAATAATATGTTCGTGCTTTTAAGAGTTGAAAAATATATAGGTATGAAAGGTAAGTAACTTATTAACGACGTTCGATATTGGTATCAAACGACAGCTAGTTAAATGGCTTTTGTGTAAAAATATTCAAATTTTCGAGAGTTGTCATCTAGTTAACAACTCTTAACTACCTTTCGATTGATAGCGATATCGAAAGCCCTTAATACATCACTTACCGTAAGTGTGTTTAATAAGTAGGAACACTATTAAAAACACCAACATATTAATTTAATCTCAAACCCATATTGTGACATTTTACTATCATATTTTAAACAATGCATTTTTAATTAGGCGACGACCCTTTAAAAAACCAAAGAACGTCTATAAGTAAATCCCTTTCATTTGACACCTCATTTTGTAACTTGAGAGACGGTGTAAATCTGATGCTCTGCAGGAAAAATAGTGTAACAGGTGGCAACCCTTTTTAAAAAAATAAGAGGTTCTTCCTTGCAGATCTATAGACCAAGCCCGTTTATATGGCATATTATATAATTTTTTTTTAAATGCACGAACTATGTAAGGGTAATGACTTTTTAAACAGGTGGTAACCCAATTGAAAAAAATTAAATCTTCTTGCATATCTAGAGGCCCAGGCTCTCATTTGACACCTAATTTTTTTCCG